AAGATCTGTTAAACATAAACTTCTATTACACAGATAACAAAATTTTATTTGCATTATAAATACCTACATTCCCGATGCTAATCATTTTTTCCCTTCCCCTTATTTTTTGTTTGAGACTTGAAATGCCTTTTTCTACAATCAGTAACATAGTGTAAAATATTAGGTCTAATCAGCATGCCAAAATATATTACTTAAAGCTTTTGATGAAGCTTTCCATTGATTTTAATTTTGCTACAAACATAAATTAATATCCATATGGTATGGTCATTTAGTCCTCAGTTTTTTAAAGTTTGCAGTAAATAAAGAAATAATGATAAGCATTTATATAGTTATATGAGTGTATGATAGCAATTTAAGTAAAACACCACACTTCTGGCAATTTGAATCAAGCTGCAACTATTTAAGTTAGAAATACCTTTTTTATGTAAATTATCCTTATCTCCAGATAAATAAACATTCCAACATTTTGGTTTTACACCTTTATCAAGAGTTGTAGTAGCTTGTGAGGCTCAACTATAACTGAAAAGACTTGTAAGATTTAGATGTGTTAAAAATAGGAAATGTAGAAAGTACTCCATTTTGTAATTCTTGCAATAATATTAATTTCAATACTAAAGTAATAGCTTTCAACATGAGTGTAAATATTTGTGTGAAAGAACAGTATCAGCTATATTAAATTTGAAAAATAATGAAATAAATAAAATACATATAAATATGCTCCTACACATAAATACCTGCAAAATACTGTGTCCTAATGGGCATGAGATTATATATATGGGTGTATATGGAAAAATATGCATTTACAGTTATATTTTTGATGTTAAAATTTGTGATATAAAACACTGGATTTAAAGGGAAAGGTATAGTTTGATTAATTCATCCATAGATGTACATATTAAAAAGATGTGAAGTTCATACATTTTTGAAGATTCTAAACGTATCAGCTTCATTCTCTTTTGAATTGGAGGCTCTTATCTCTAATACATATATAGTTTCTATATACTTCCATTTTTTGTAGTTTTCTGGTTTTGTTAGATTTTTGGCCACAAATGTGGTACCTGGGATGTCCAAGAGTGAACTTCCATAATGAGAGTACTTTTTCTTTTGCTTGTATATGTTTAATTCAAGTATGTATAGATCTTTGAGTCTTTTATATACTGATTGCATAACCATCTTGCACTTCAGGTGATAAAACACATTATTTTTGAGGCGTAACTCTCCAGCATCATTCTCTCTCTGCTAAACATAAAATTTAAGGACAAGGAACCTGTTGGTCTATCTGGACTGTCCCACCTACTAAACATTAAAATAAAAATTTCAAACCAGCTCTTATCAAATATTTATCAAGTCTTCCCATAATCTCCCTTAAATTTAATGCATCTTCCACATCTAAAGGCAACCCATTAAAACATATAACTTTCTTAGCAGAAAATGACTGTCCTACCCTTATCAGGATTTGATTTTAATGGTCATCCAAAATGACTTAAAATTTCCTCAGGCGATCAACTTAAACCCCCATGTTACTAGCACACTGGAACATTTATCCATGCCCACACTACACACATAATGTTGGCTCTGATCCTCTACTAAAATCATTGGTAAATTTCCTAACTATGAACACAAACATTTTAACCCCCAT